GTGACGGTCAATCCCACTATTCGTTGGTAAAAGAGTAGCCCAAGAGTTTGCTGTGGGTAGTGATGACTAGCTGCCTTCCCTCTAGTCTTACGCTGCTAAATTATGGACGGCTAGCGCAGATAACCCTCGTGTAGCTTTGCGCGAAATTCAAAAAACAAACAAACAAACATACATCAGAAATAATAACTACAGACAGTTTGGGGAATTATGACTCTCGGATGATCAAACTGCATACCTCTGGTCAGAGAAAACTTGTTGATTTCAAAGTTAACACCCATCCTTGAATGATAACCTCAGTTCTTTTCAGCTTTCTTTGCTTTATGTGTAAGAATTCTACTAATTTTGTCAATAATAATAATACGTCTGAAGCGTCCTTGTTTTCTATATTTTTACCGATTAATATTAACATACTGTCCAAAGATTGAACATTCTTTTTTTTTTATGTTTTACTGTGGCGTTCCATTTCACATTTAAGTTAATATATTGCTTGTATAATTTTGGTTCATGAACTCTTGAAATTCTAGAAATTAGTAGGAAGCTCCTAAATGCACATTTCATAGAAAAACCTCCTTGTTAGAAAATATAACCACCAACAACTTAGGTTTCCAATTAGAATAATAAAGATATTGTAACAGTTATACGTTTTATCAGGTTAGTCTGACAATATCATCCTAAAATGTTTTATATGTCTTTATTTTTCACCTAGTTCTTTGTCTTATTCCGGTAATGTACAGATTTAAGATAGTGTCTTATATTCTAGGCGAAATGTTTTTGTGAGAAGTACGTTACGAAGCAAAGTAAAGATTATAATTATACATAAAGATCTGATACAAGTGTATAAAAACATGTAAAAAATACATTTATGAAAAAAAAAAAACAGTTTTGGTTTATTTTGAATTGAAAAAAAGCTACACGAGGGCTATCTGCGCTAGCTGTCCCTAATTTAGAAGTGAAAGACTAAAGGGGAGGCAGCTAGTCACCACCACCCACCGCCAAGTCTTGGGCTACTCTTTTACCAACGAATAGTGGGATTGACCGTAACATAATAACGTCTCCACGGCTGATAGATAGAGAATGTTTGATGGGACAGGAATTCAAACCCACGACCCTCATATTGCGAGTCAAGCGCCCTAACCACCTGGCCATGCCGGGCCTGAAAAGAAAACGACCATGGAGAATAAGTAGAATCGAATACGTAGGGTTTTAGGATATATAAAACTAATGCGTAGGGTTTTAGGATATATAAAACTAATACGTAGGGTTTTAGGATATATAAAACTAATACGTAGGGTTTTAAGATATATAAAACTGGTTAGCCATTTTAATTTTACAAATAAAACAGCAGAACTTTCCACGTTTAAATTTCAAACTGTTAGTTCCCATAAAATGACAAAATGTCCCATTATGTAACGAATGAGATTAGAACGTCAGTATTGTTCTCTGCTATAGAAAAGTCCAATTATGTCGCGAATTAGATCAGAACGTCAGTGATTATTTGTTATGAAAACGTTCCATTATGTGTAACGCATGAGATTAGAACGTCAGTATCGTTCTATGCTATAAAAGCGTTACATTATGTAAAAAGAGATGAGAATGTCAGAGAATCTTATCTGCTATAAAAACGTTCCATTATATAAGGAATGAGATTAGAACGAAAGTATCGTTCTCTGCCATAAAAACGTTTCTTTATGTAACAAATTAGGTCAGAATCTTATTTGCTATAAAAACGTTCCATTATATAAGGAATGAGATTAGAACGAAAGTATCGTTCTCTGCCATAAAAACGTTTCTTTATGTAACAAATTAGGTCAGAATCTTAT